CTCTCTGTCGGCTCTGGGGGAAAATCCTTGTCATCAATCTTCCTCTGGTCTAGGAGCTTCTCAGCACAGGGAACTCGAGTCCAAAGAACACGCTCCACTCCTGGCTCTTCTTGCTTGGTGGTAGGAGGTGCCTCTCCTCTCTGCTTGCTTCTCGCTTTCATATCGCAAAAGAGATTGACTCAAGATACAACCTAATCCTGTAGATTGTGTCCTGCCTCATTAACACAACTGCCTCTAATCCTGTCTCATTAACATCACAGACGTTAGGATTTACAACACACATGAAAATTACATCCGATCACAAAATGGAGGATAACTGCACAATACTGGGAATCATGGCCTAGCCAAGCTGACACAAATTTTTGGGGGACACAATTCATATCTGCAATTTTTGTCCAGTTGCATTTAATTCAGGTTCAAGTGTCATGTGGTAGCTTTTGTCTGCTTCCTTCTACTATGTTTGAAGTGTTTTCTTCCACCAAAAAGTTTTAATTCTCATTTTTTTTCCCCTTATAGACTTTGTATGTTCCTTTTTTGTTCATGTTTATATGTGTTGGATTTTCCCAGACCAGCAAACCATGCCATCTTATGTGGGGAATGGGTTGGTTAGCTTATGTAATTTCTCAATTCAAGACCACTCCAGCTGGTATAGTGTAGTATCTCTAACAAATAATACAAAAAATCTGATTCTTTGATAATATATTATTTTAATAAAACCCTTATTCAGCCACTTCGTTCTTCCCACTAAGTCAGGCCTCTAAAGACACTTCCTCATTCCAAGGTGTCTCACTCTCCTCCAGAAGTGGTACTCTTGTCTTAGTATTTTTCCAGCTTCTTCCTTTTGACTCCCTAGTAACTAGTGCACTGATTCACCAGATCTCAGATCTTCTCATGGTATTGTCCAGTTAAGATAAAACTCTCTCCTTCTGGCTAAACCCTAATTGATAGTAATTGTGCTCCACTACTATTAGGACCCTATCATACTCTCCCTCTCTCTCCTCTTTTTTCGTCAGTCCTTAGTTGACTTTCTGCTCTGTATATCTAAGATGTTTATTTCTTCTCTTAAAATTAAATTCAAGTCAGTAGTCATCTATGTCTCCCAGATATACTATGCCATCATATCCAATATATTTTTTTCTCTATTGATTATTGACCTTGCTCTTATTAATTTATAAGAGCTACTGTGTGGCAGTTCTACTTTGTCCTATAGGGTTGCTATAAGTCGGAACCAACTCAATGGCAATGGATTTGTTTTTTTTATCGATATATATATATATATATAAAACATTAGCTCTTTGTCATTTTTATTACAAATATCTCCACCTCCTTTTTATCTTCTTTTTGTTTGTTTATGGTATTTTGGCCAAGAATGAAATTTTCACTTTATATACCAAATTTATGTATTTTTTCTCCTCTGACTCTTATGTCTAGAAGTTTACTTAGAAGTGTCTTTGGCATGTATGTCTTCTTCTAGTGGTTTTACAGGTTCTTTTTTTTAAGAAAAAGTCTTTGATTCATTAGCATTTTATTACTCAGTAAGAAGTGAAAAGGATTCATTCATTTATTGGCTAATCTATCCTTTCCCTAATGACTTAAAATTCTACTTTAGTCATTGTATCAGTAATCTATTGCTGTGAAGCAAACTACCTCAAAACTTAGTGTCTTAAAACATCCATCATCTATTTGCTCTGTGCAGTTTGGTCTGGACTCAGCTGGGCAATTCTTCTGCTTTCACCTGAGGAAGACTACGTAGCTGGTGCAGTCAGGTGGTAGTTTGGCTGGGGGTTGACTGGTCCTGGATTGCCTACTCCCTTGCCTGGGACCCTAAGCAGAACAACTAAGCCTGTCCCTTCATGTAATTTCTCATCCTCAAGGGTGCTGACGCAGGCTTCCTGACATGGCAGTCACAGAGGCACAAGAAAGTGAAGGTCAAAGCAGAAGCTGCAAGGCCTGTTGAGATTGAGGCTCAAAAGTCACATATCACTTCTGCAGCATTCTATTGGTCCAAGCAAATCACAGGGCCAGAACAGATACAAAAGGATGGGGAACAGATTCTACTCCTTGATAGGAGCAGTGGCAAAGTCACATTGCAAAGAAGAATGCCTCCAGGAATGGCTCAACTTCTGTTAATCTTTGCAAACACTCTACTACAGTCATATACTAAATTTCCTTAAGTATTTGGATCTACTTCTAGACTTTAAAAAAGTCTTCCATCTATTTGTCATTTTATTTATGTGCCAGTACAAGGCCATTTTAACTACTGCACCTTTAAAATGTTAGATCAGGCCTCCCTCAATCTCCTTCTTTTTAATAATTTTTCTTAGAAATTCTCCCACTTCTTCCATATATCCTTTAGGATGATTGTTGTTGTTGGCTGCTGTCGAGTCAATTCCAACTCATGGTAACCCATGTGTGCACAGAAGGACTGCTCCAAAGCCAGAGGATTTTTAAGGCAGTCACCCTTCAGAAGCAGACTGCCTGGCCTGTCTTCCAAGGTGCCTCTAGGTGCATTCAAACCGAGAACCTTTCAGTGAGTAGTGAAGCACTTAACCATCTGTGCCACCCAGAGGCTCCTGGAATCATTCTAGCTCCGTTAAAAAAAAAAAAGTTGCTATTTTAATGGAATTACATTAAATTCGTAGGAGAATTTACTAAACTGTATCTTCCATCCAAGTGTACAATTTCTCCTTCCATTTATATGTTTTCTTATAAAGTTTCCTTTCAGAGATACTTCACATTTCTTGTTGTGTTTTTCTTAAGTATTTTACCTTTTTATCACTATTATAAATGATGTTTATATTTTTAGCTGGTTATCATACAAAGAAAAGTTATTAATTTTTTATCCTGAATCTGCTGATGCAAACCTTGGGCAAGTTACTTACCACATCCAGGGCTTAGTTTCCCCAATACACTTCAGAGAGTTGTTATGAGGAATAAATGATTCGACATATGTAAAAGGGCCAGGCATAAGGCGGAGGCTCAATAAATGTTACCTATTATTAGTACTAAGCCATCTTACTTAATTGATTTTTCTTTTTTCTACTACTTTTTCACTTGATTCTCTTGGGTTTTGTAGGTGTACCATATCAAAATTTTGATAACTGTGTTACCGTCTTTCAAACTTTATCTCTTTTTTTTCTTTTAGAATTTCAGTGGTTAATAATTCTAGAGCAATGATAAATAGAAGCATTTTCTTATGGATATCTCACTTCTGGCGGGCAAGAATATTTCTACTGTAAATGTTAATAACAGCTACCATAACATCCTATAGCATATCTACGGGATATACATATTTATCATACCAGGAACTAACTAACTATAGATATTTCTAAATTTGAGGCATTTAAATTGTTTCTTGATTTTTTTTCATTATTAAAACTAACAGCAAAATAGTCATCTTTATGTGTAAATATTTGGGAACAGTTTGCATTATTTCATTGAACAGCCTGAGGTCTCAAGTGAACTTCCTGAGCTCCTAATTCACATTTCTTTAAACAAGGTAACAGAATCTGCACTCCCATCAGCAGTGTATGTGAATAATTTTCTCACTGCACCTCTACTGGGAAAATTTTCAGGAGAAGGAAAATGAGGATGCTTTGGTTTACTAAGCTATTGTGCAATTACAGTAACACCCAATGGTGAAATCTAAATTTTCATCTCTCTCGTAGCACTAGGAACAATCCTGAAAGAGAACTCCTCAGAACAAGCACCAGCACAACCTTGCCTTGCCAGAACCTGATTATGTTAGAATAGGGTTTTTCAATCTCAGCACTATTGACATTTTAGGTCAGATAATTCTTTTTGTGGGAAGCTGTCTTGTACATTGTAGGACGTTGAGCAATATCACTGGTCTATACCCACTAGATGCTAGAAGCGCCTTTCCCCCAAGTTGTGACAAACAGAAATCTCCCTAGACATGGCCAAATTTCCCCTGGTTGAGAACCACTGTGTTAGGAGAATGATATTCCAGGCAATAAATACAAAGCTCATGATCACAGGTACGGACTGATGGTTCGGATACACTTTTGTTGCAGGCAGAGGAGAGAAGAAGTAGAGAACTAAAACATGGGATGGAATACTCACTTTGCTTTATAAGGTGAGTCAGAGCCAGAATTTTTTGTTTCCATTAAACTCTCATATTCCTTGGCCCTGAAAAGAAAAAAAGTTTTATTATTATTAGTTATTTTGTTGATAATTTTTATAAGCCAAACTCTTCGCTACCATTTTATTCTTACAGTACAAAAGTTGTGCTGTTAAAGTGATAAATCAGCAACATTACAACATTAATTTTAACACTTTGATTTCTAAAATGATTTCTTTAAACTAAAATGTTCTCAAAGACTGAAAAATGCATATTTCCTCTTAGACTAATATATAACAGATTTATGAAAATACTTCTGAATTTAGAAACCTGGTTCAGAATGATGTTTTATTTTTCAGAAATATTAAATCTGAAAGGATATTAAATTTCTCCATGGTAGCTGAGGTGGCTGAATACCCATGTACCTCAAGAGATACACAGTGTAAAAATAAATACAGGTAAAGAATAGTCATTTAATATTAGAAACAATTAAAAACACACCAAAAGCAAATTTTATCAGACCTTCAAATACTTTTTTGTTTTGTTTTTTTTTTGTTTATACTGGTTAAATACCAAAGGTCTGGAAAATGAGATAAACTTCTCTGCCACTGTCTAACGTGGCTCCAGTCTGCCTGAACCAGTATGTGACAGGCATCAACAGGCCATCATCTTAAGACAGGTTTAATTACAGCAATGCATTAATATTGACTTACTTTGTCAATTTCTCTTTTTGGGGGGGGGGGGGAGAAAATACCAATTTAAAGGGTCCTAGTCTCAAAGAGGAGCCCTGGTAGCGCTATAGTTAGGCATTCAGCTGCTAACCAAAAGGGTGGAAGTTCGAATCCACCAGCCGCTCCTTGGAAACCCTATGGGGCAGTTCTGCTCTGTCCTATAGGATCACTACGGGTTGTATCAATTCGACAGCAACAGGTTTGGTTTTTTTGGTTTTCAGTCTCCAAGAATGAGTCTGGTGAACTTGGAAAGAATTAGCCACAAGGGGCAGGGCTAACAGCCTTCATGAACAACTGCCTCCTTTGCCATGAGACCAGAAGAAGTGGCTGGTACCTGGCTACCATTACTGAACATTTTGATCAAAGATTCCATAGAAGAATCCTGATCAAGAGGGGGAAAACACTGAATAGAATTTCAAATTATCATGGACTCCAGATTTCCTGAAGCCACAAAGGTTGGATGAACCCCTCAAACTACTGCTCTGAGATAATCTTTAAACCATAAACCAAAAATATGCCCGAAGTCTTCTTAAAACCAAACAATAGTTTAACTTAGCTGGTAAAAAATGTGCGCCTTGAGTATTATGCTCTTTTAAGAACTGTCTTTATGGGATCTAATTGACAACAGCAACTTGAAATATTAGCTAGGAACCTTAGGGGGCAGGGAATTTATGTTAATGAGGGAGGAACAACTCAACAGGAGTGTGAGGATGGTTACACAATTCAAAGAATGTCATCGTCACTGAATTGCACATGTAGAAACTGCTGAATTGTGTATGTTTTGCTATCGTGTATATTCTCAACAACAACAAGAAACTAAATAAAATTATATATATATAAGAATTAGCCACAAGGAGGTACACCAATCCCAACAACGACTGGACACTGCTTCAACAGAAAGTGAAAGATGCAAATTATAATAAGCCCAATGAGGTAAAAGCAAACTAGTACAGGCTATGCTAGAGAACAAAAAAAATCTACATTAGAATAAAAAATTAAATTACATATTATTTCAAACTAAGTATGCTCATTGCTGTCAGCCATAACATTAAGGCATATCAAAATGGAGAAATAACCACTTGTTGTTGTTAGCTGTCGTTGAGTTGGCTCCCGACTCATGGTGACCACATGCACAATGGTCTCTTTTGATCCATGGGTTTTTTAGTGGCTGATTTTCAGAAGCAGACTGCCAGGCCTTTCTTCCTAGAGGTGCACTGGCTGGGAATCAAACCCATGTCTCCTGCATAGAAAGCGAGAATTCCACCTTGGAACTACCACTGCCTCCAACCACTTGGTAGATGCAAGTAATTGGGACCTCAACTGAAAGGTGCGAAAAATAATATTTACCCAGGTTTGACTATGCTCCAAGCATTGTGCAAGATGCTTTATGTTGTCTCTTTCAGTCCTAAAAACTCAATAAGGTATTATTCCCATTTCACAAGGAAAAAACTGAACCTTAGGAAGATGCCTGGTATAACAAAACATACATTTACCTACAACTTGAAGTGGAAGGGACTGAATCCATTCTCTCACTCCTATAGTAGGCAAATGTAACTAGAAATCTGTTGTCCAAAAAATTCTCACCTTACCTGATGTAGTAGTTTCCCACTTTTTCCTAATTTGACTCCTGTCTCAATTCACTTTTAGCAAGCAATTAAATATTTATTTCCAGAGTCCCTATTCTGTACAAACTAAACTGTGGGGAATTTTAAGGGGCATATACATAGTGGGGGTAAAGAATATACATAATGGGAATATTCAACGAGTTTATTCTCCAGAAGGAGGAAGGAGACATGAGAGCATTAAAAGACACATAACTCTACAGAGGAGAGTAAGTTACAAATAAGTACTGTGCCAACTATTCATTTTCCAGAGAAGATGCCACAGCAAGTTTCCTGAAGGAAGTGGAATGTGCACTTGCTTGAAAGATAGGTAGCATCTGAATACAAAGAAAAGAGAGGAAATCAGAGAAACGTGAGCGAACAATCCTGAACATGAGGAAAAATATAAATTATGCTTCAGGAACAGTCTAAAGGCCTATTTGCTTGGAGTAAAAGATTAAAATATGGGAATAGTGAAAGACAGAGCTAAAAATAATCTATTCAAATATTCTATCACAATTCTGATGATTTATTTTTTTAGATAATAATCCAATTTATCAATGTTTTAAAGTTTATTAGTATAGTGTTGTACACTGTATTCCTTCAGTTTTAACTCCAAACCATCTTGGCTATACTCCTTCTCAGCCATAATGTGGGATTATTTGCTTATTACTCCTTTTTATTGTTTATTACCCTTGTCACAGGCTGTTTTACCAAACTTCGTAGAGAATTAGATCTTATCAACTTCAAATTGTTCATTTTTTCTTTACAAAGATACAGTACAAAAAAGTAGCATATGTCTTTGTTAAATAAAAATAAATATATCTATCTTAGTTTCCATGAGGGATGTGACTTTTCTTCTAGTTCCTTGAGATGTTTATATCATTTCTACTTTAACAGATAACAAAATCATTTAAAGCTAAAATTTCATTCCGAGCAAAACTTTTAACACATCCTATAAGTTTCATGCTCTCATTGTTACAAATTTGAAATAGTCTGTAACTTCCATTTTGATTTATTCCTGAACAATTCTTATTTTAAACAATATTCTCTGTTTTTCTCCTTGCTTCCAAACAGCTAGTTTTTTGTTTTTATAATTTTAACTTTTTTTTTCATTTCTGTTCGGTTTGAGTTATAATTTACATACAAAATTCTCAACTTTAAGTGTACAATTCCATGAATTTTCACAACTGTGTACATCACCAACAACAAAACCACAATCATGTTACAGCACATTTCCACTACCCCACAAAGTTCTCTCCTGACTCTGCAGGCAACTTCTTCCCCCTACCCTCTTGCCTCTAGCAACCACTGATCTGCTTTCTACCACTACAGATTTCTAGAATAGCAAATAACTAGAATCATACATACACTACTGTGTCGAATGCATTCACTAAATATATCTTCAAATTCTTTCATATTGTTTTATATATATCATTAGCTCATTTCTTTTTATTGTTTAGTACATCTATCATTTGGATATACCACAGTTTGTTGATTCATTCACCAGTTGGGCATATCAGCTTTTTTCCAGTTTGGGGCTATTATGAATAAAGCTACTATGAACACTGGCATACAAGTCTTTGTGTAGGCAAATCTCTTCATTTCTCTTGGATAAATACCTAGGAGTGAGACTGCTGGGTCATATGACAAGCATGTGCTTAACTTTTAGAGGAATTACCAACATATTTTTAAAAATGGTCATTCTATCTTGCATTCGTACCAGCAAAGTATGAGAGTTCCAGCGACTTCATGTTCTTGCCAATTCTTGGTATGGTCAGTCTTTTTCATTAGCCATTCCACTGAGAGCGTGATGGTATCTCAGAGTGGTTTTAATTTGCATTTAACTAATGAGTAATGATATTAAGCAGCTTTTTATGTGCTTATTTTTTGCTCATATATATTCTCTGGTGAAGTGTCCATTAAAATATTTTTGTCCATTAAAATATTTTGACAATTTTAAAATAAGTTAGTTCATCTTTCCAGAGGGTGGTGAGTAAGGTAAGGTTTTGATTTATCTTTTGTTATAAATTTTGAATTTTACTGAATGCACAGAAGATATAAAATCTCTGCTTTTCTGGAATTAGAGAGATTTTTGTGACTCAGTATATGTATAATTTTTATACATGTTCCATGAACATTTAAAAAAAGAAAGTGTATTCTCTATTTGAAGACATCAAAACTTGATATTTACATATAAATTCAACTTGTGACTATTATTCAAATGATTGGTATCTTCATTTATGTTTTTATATACTGAAATTCTGCTTGGATAGTAACAGTCCCCCTTTGGCTGTTTTTTGTTTATTTTAAGTACTTGATATAGCTATGCTCATTATTTTATTATGGCATTCTGTTTTAGGTGTTTTTTTAACAAACAAAATAAAGCTAGATTTTTAATAGTTTGATTCAGTTGGGGACTTTTTAAAATGGCAATTATATATAAGATTTTACATATACACACACACACACACATATATAAGATTTTGTATATATATATTCTCCAAACCAAAAAAACCAAACCCACTGCCATTAAGTTGATTCCAACCCACAGGAATCCTACAGGACAGAGTAGAACTGTCCCATAAGGTTTCCAAGGCTGTAATCTTTACAGAAGCAGACTGCCACATCCTTCTCCCGCAGAGCTGCTGGTGGTTTCAAACTGTCAACCTTTCGGTTAGCAGCCGAATGTTTTAACCACTGTGCCACCAGGGCTCCTGTCTATTTTGTAATTGA